GAGGGAGAGGGAGAGGGAGAGGGAGAGGGAGAGGGAGAGGGAGAGGGAGAGGGTGAGCAAGAGAACGCTCACTAGAAAGCATAAAGAAGACAGAAAATCTCAGCATGTAGAACTGACACTTGTGTCACTTCATGAGTGAAGCCGCATAATGTCAGGGAGTCACTGAATGACAGACCCCCTTTGCTGTCCTTTGTCTCTCACCTGGGTTATGACATCAACCTAACACCAGTTCAGGACACCGCTGCAACACCAGCTGCTTGCTCACACACCAAAGACACTTCAGATTGCAAAGTCCCCGTCCATATCTTTACCCTTTCACCTGCTAACTTTTGAGATGTCCCCTGACCACAGATCTGTAGCTGTCCACAGTCCAGAACAGCTGATCCATGAGGTCCTCAGCCATGGGAAGGGCCAAACTGGTAGAGGCGTTAAACAACTGACTCTTATGCTCCCTGCCCCCAGTTAATTTTCTTCTTAAAATAGAAATCTCTCCCTCTCCCTCTGTCTCTGGTTCTCTGTCCCTGTCTCTGTCTCTGTCTCTGTCTCTGTCTCTCTCTGTCTCTCCCTCTGTGTGTGTGTGTGTGTGTATGTGTGTGTGTGTGTGTGTGAGAGAGAGAGAGAGAGAGAGAGAGACAGACAGACAGACAGACAGACAGACAGATAGACAGATGTAAATGTAGGCACATTCATGCCAAAGGAAGTGTGTGGAATTCAGTGGACAACTTCAAATGCCGATCATTTCCTTCCACTTTGTTTGAGACAGGGTCTGTCTTGCTCCCTGCTGCCTGCGACAGCTTCGGCGTGTGTTATGGGAATCTTAGCTTCAGTGTCAGGCCTGCTTGTTCCTAGATTAGCCTCTGAGCCATCTCCCCAGCCCAGGACTGAAGAGTTTAAAGATGATCTGCATCTGCCATTCTTTCTTCCTCAGAGTTAGGTAAGAAGTGTGTTTTAGGTAGAGAACTATTACAGTTTACAGGGCATAGAACTCTGCCAAGCTTCTACGGAAGGCAGAGCTGAGGAGGATGGGAAGATATGAGGCAGACACTCTACCAGGTGGGGGTTGAGGGTCAGGGAAGACTTACAAAACGAGGAGTGATGAGGCTGGGACAGCCATGGGGGCTGGACATTGCTTCCCTCCTCTTGTCTCTAACTCATAATTCAGGAGATTGGTTTAGGGCGGGGGGGGGGGTGCTCATCAGGAGGTTCTGTCCCTGGCCTAGGCTTTAAATTTTCCAACAGCAGACCCTAGACACTTGAGTTCTTAAGATGAGATACAATATGGTATCATGTTAGAATCTGAAGGAGCTCTACACTGTCCTTTCTTCTTGGTCTCAAGTATTTCTGTGTGGGACAATAGGTGAGGTGAGTCAGTGAAGCACGCCTCAGGCTTCTCACACATTCGGAATAAGAGCAACACCTTGATTTCTGGAAAAGAGAAACTTAGGGAAAAGGAAGAGGAAACAGAGGCCTGGTTGAGTGGCAAAGTGTTAACTCAGCACATACAGGCCCTGGATTCCATCCCAGCACTGCCAGGGAGCAAAACTATATAGGACATCACTTGCCTATAATGACAGCGCTTGGAAGGCTGAGGCAGGAGGATCATGGACTGGAGAACAACTTGGACAAGAGAGAGAGTTCTAGACTGGTTTGGGGCTACTTTGTAAGACCTTGACTCAAAAAAAAATTAAATAAAATGAAAAGATTTTTAAAATGAAAAGGAATATTAGTTTCCTCCAGGGGTAGAGAAGAAAGGTTTCATGCTCTGAGGGACAGACTGAAACTAGAAAGTTACAGTGAGAGTTAGACAAACGGTTGATCAACTAAAGCAACAGTAAGCCGAGCAGAATGTATTATTAAAGAAATAAGAAAGTGTCCAAGTGTATATGTGTCACTGGGAAAAGATGGCTACTTCAGTGGAATCAGAAACTGACTGTCCCAACTGTCCCAAGCTGCTTAGCCTTGAGCTTGGGACAGCTCCCCGGGTGTCTGTACAATGGGGTAATTATGAAAATCGTGATCACCAATGCATTTAGAAATATAAAATTCTGCAGGGTGTTTTATGAGTTCTTGGGATCTAAGGAAGCTCCTCACGTATTATTGGAATGGGATCGGGGTGCCAAGAGCCTTTGAAAGTGGCCATCAGTCTAGAAGAAAATCAGCTCTCTAGCAATAAAGAAAAGAAAGAAAAAATCTAACCCTCTATCCTCACCTTCTACTCATTTTTGGAAATTGGGCAACGGAACCTGGTGCAGGAAGCCCAGCGGCACCTGATAGGTCTCTCCTTGCCCCTCACCTTTTGGGGTTGGGCTTCCCCTTCCTGCCAGACAAATCCCATGGTGATAGCAGCCAGCACCAGGTGTGCCAGGCGCTGCTCGCGGTGACTCTTTAGGAACCTGCAGTCCAGGAGAGGCATCTAGTCAAGAGATTAAAAGGATTAGCAGCTGGAAAAAACGGAACGACGGTGGAGGATTAGGTCCCGTGACTTGAGGGTCCCGCAGCTGTTAGACCGCTCTTTGGCTTTCAACAGGCATCTCAGTGGCTTCATGCACACTCACTTAAACCAGCTCTTAGAGGAACACAGTGGAGGTGCCACGTCCTGGGGTCCATAGCCTAGATAGTGCCCAGTTTGGGCTTACACTGGTCTCCATCTATTGCTTTGAGGATCTCAGAGTAAGCATTGGGGTCGAGATAAGTTCCTCCCCGGCCCCGCCCCCGGCCCGCCCCGGCCCCGCCCCCACCCGCCCCCCACCCGCCCCCCACGCGCGCAGCAGCATTTATGGACCTGGAAGCCCTCAATTTTTCCAAACCTTTAACTATATTAAAATTTTAAACACAGCGAGCGAGACCCAGTAGTTTAGGGATCTAAACTCCCCACAAAACCTTGGCTCCGCTGGGTACAAGGCTTGCTCGGATCCTCATCAAGCAACCACAACTCAGCCAGATGAGGTGGCGGGGCTTTCCACCCAGCTCATTCCCCATGTAGTCCCTGTGGGAAACCACAGTTCCTGGTGACGCGAAAAGGCCACCCTGAAAAACAGCATCATTCCGACCACACCAGCTTCCCTGTCCTGCCTGGCTGCCACCGGCTCATCGCTCGTCTCCTCAGCTCTTTGCTCTCTTTGCTCTACAGGCTTGCCTCAGAGGGCAGGCGACACTTGTAAAATGCTGGGGACAATGGGTTCCTAGAGGAGGGCTAGACCTTGAGAAAAGAGGTGGCACAGAGCCCTTCCTCCTCCGGCCGCTAGGGGGAAGAGGATGACAGCAGTAGTTGTACTTGGAATTTGGTACTTGGAATTCCTGGTACTTGGAATTTGAGGCTTAAACATCCCCTGCGGGAGCCAAAAGACAAAATTGTCTCAGATGCATTTGCTAGGGTCACAGAATCAGGAAGGAACGAGGCAGTTCTGCAGATTGACCACAGCCCCAATCACTAGAATCATGCATGAGTCACAGGTTTTGTTTGAAAATTTCCAGTAGCTACAGTTTTTTTTAAGGCAAAATGAATTAAAATTAGTTCTAATAATGTACTTTGTTGAGTCAATGTATAAAAGTTATTTTAGCATGCAATCAGTATAAAAGTCTTTCAGTCTTCTAGTCTGTGTCTTCTCACGCTTTGTCCTTCCTTGTCACACCTCGGGTGTTGCAGAAGACCACCTACAGGACAGGACGCCTCGCTGTAAAGGAACAAAGTCTACTGGACAAATGTTTTCTGGAGAGTCCCTGCACATTTCAGCATTGCTGACCTCACCTCCTAAACATACCTGTGATTCAAAAGCAACTATAGGGGCTGAAAAGGAAATGCTACCTTCATAGTTAATCATTTTGCCTACACAAACAGCCACAGACGGTCAGGGAGAACGTCGCACACCCTTTATCTCCCTGACATTATTTGATTGTGTATTTAACCTGGGAAAATCAATCCTAGTACTCTTCTCTCAGAACTCAGTGACCTGGGGCCAGCTGCCTGTCCTGATTTCTGAATATCCTGTAAGGATCACTTAATGGTATTTTTAGAATCAATTCATAATTAGACACTAAGCATCAGCAAAGAAGGTACTGGAGAGTGGAGTGCCTTGCTTGAACATCTGAAATCTTGTGGCTTGCTTGTGACAGATGAAGATGAGACGGGGAAGAGATATGCAAATAATGGATGTTGTTACCTAGCAGGAACTGTGAGAGGGTCCTTGCGAAAGCCATTAATGCTCACAGTCATGAGCTGAGGACTTCTTCCAGTTCTCAAAGAAGGAAGTGAGACTCTGAGGCCAACTCTCTGTTTCACGCTTCCTATAAAATTCCTGAATCAAAGTATGCCTCCTATAGAGGTCACATTTTTTTCTAATTTCTTTTTGAGGGAAATTGCTCGCTCTGTCACAGATGTGTGTCATATACTTACATGCATGCAAATTCTTATGTGGTGTCTGTGGATTTCATTATTTCTACATAGCCAAGGCTGACTCTGAGTTTATAAATCAGAAAGACATTTGATTCAACTAGTATATAACACACTAACACTAAGACCAAGGTACCCACCCGGAGGTAGCAGGGCAGTGACCATGTGGGTTGGGACAGCTCACTGAGAATCTCCTGTACCGGTCCTGCCGGTGTGAAGTCAAGCAGTCCTCTTAGGGGTGAGTGAGGATTATAGGAAAGATGGAAAAGAAGGCTCGGAGACAAAGGTTAGAATCGTGAGGGCTGTCCAGCCTCGAGTTTAATTCTCTTAGGCTTTATATACTTTACGGTATCATGGGAAATGAAGTCACAAGCCAGCAGAGACGATGGCTGACGTACATCTGATATCCATACCCATCTGGAGGCCTCCCTATTCCTCCTTGTTCCTTCTTCGAAGATTGACAGAACATTCAACCCCTCCCCTTGAGGCTAGGAAATCTGTCAGCAGACCCCGGCCTGACTTGACTTCAACCTGACAGGCAGGCTTTCACAGAAGCAGGCAAAATGGGTCCTGCCAATCTCCATGTGTGTCTTCCTCATTTCCCCACAATTTATTTTCAATTCTTATCTATCAGCATTTTTTACACAAACGCAGGATAAGGACTTGATGTGTCTCAGGTGCCGCTTGTGCATGCTAAGGAAGACAGCTCAGTGGCGAAGGTCAGTTCCCACTGCCAGGTCAACTGTCTCATTCCCGGAAAGATAAGGAAAGGGAAATGGAGACTGAAGGGATGGCGAGAGGAAGAACATGAAGAGAAGAACAAAGCAACGTACCTTGTACACATGAGCTTGGAGCTGGTGGCTCTCAATTAAGTGAGGAAGTCTGTTGGCAGTTTCCATCCAAGGCTTGTAATAATCGGGGAGTTCTTTCTGCATTTCAAACAGAAACAGTTCAGTATTTTACAGAAAGCAGCTTTGGAATGCTCTTCAAGAGAATTCAAGTCAACCCAGGTATGCAAAGAGAACTTACTGCAAGCTTGACCTTAGGCTAGACTAGCCACACAGACACACAGGTGACTAGAACACAGACCTTGGGCTCATATCAGAGCACCAGAGAAAGTAAGTCAAGATAAAATGGGTCCCAATGTAAATCACATGCTTCATACTGGGGGTTTGGGGGTGTCCAGGCGTTTGCATATGTGTGCATGCATGTGCATGCATGTGTGTGTGTGTGTGTGTGCGCGCGTGTGCTTGAGACTCTCGAGAAGGGGTAGGGCTAAGTTTTGTCAGTCTATTATTGAAGTCTGAAAGTGACTTCTCTTTTCTTCACTTATAGTTTTGTATTTTCAGTCTTTTGAGACAGACTTTTGCTACTATGTAGCGCAGGCTGATCTTGAACTCACCGTCTTGTACCTCAGCCTCCCACATGCTGTAATGTAGATATGAGAGTATATAGTTTGTTTTATTTTTTACAGTCTCTGTGAGTCCTAGGCTGCCATTAACCTTGAGATCCTCGTTCCTCAGCCTCCAGCATAACTGGAATCAAAGGCTGCACCTGTTTCTATGAATCCATTTATACTGAAATTCATCTACCCCTATTGTCTGTGTCAGCTTTCGAATACAAGCAACAGACCTGGGCAATCTCAGCAGAACGCTATATGCTGTGCAAAAGAAGCTCTTTTGGCCTTTCAGAAAACATTCACCAAACATGGATGGAGTCCAGTGGCTTTTCAGTGAACAGGTTGTCCAGAGTCATGTATGGCCTCTGAGTTCTGGAGAAATGGGATGAAAGCCACGACCGTGTTTATGAACAGAGCGACTGTGCAAGGGGTCAGAACACATAAAACGCAAGTAGAGGTAAGAGTAGGCAAAAAGCTAGTTCTCAGTAAATTCCAGTTTCCATCTCTATAGAAATTCAAATGATGTGGCACGTAGTGTGAGGAGCAGACAGAAGTCACTAACAGAGAAGGCACAGAGCCAGCAGAGCCGGCGCTTCTGAAGACTATGCAAACTGAAACATCAAGGAAGCCTAGATTAGCACGCTGGGGGATATTCACAAGGTAGGCACAGATAAAAAAGAACATTCTAGAGGTTCAATGAGCCATAGAGAACAACCATAAGGCAGTCAAAACTTAAGCAAATTTTATGGAAAGCAATAATCAGAAGATCAAGGGCATCAATAGAGAGTTAAAATAAGGCTACCCCTTAGGGACAAAGTGACACAAAGAGGTGTGGGCCAGTTTCTCTACGCCTTTGTTATGGAAACCGAGGGCAGAATCTTGAAAGCTAGCTTTAAATGCCCCTGTGCTGGGGAAACGTGGAGCGATGGACTTTTTAGGAGAGACATCAGTGAAAGGGAAGCTGCTTTTGCAGAGGTCTTCTAGGGATAAGAGCAGTGAGCAGTTCATAGTCTGCTGCTGTAAGAGGAACAGTATGAAGAAGCGGGGTCGGGGGACACAGGGGCAGCAGGGCATGGGAGATGCATCCTGGTAGAAGCAGAAGCGGGGGCTGGGGGCTTGTCTTCCCATGGATCCACTTTCTCAGCTCACTGGCGTAAAGATCAGGCTGTG